GGACCGAGTGGACTCATCTGGACCGGGACGTGTGGGTTCCCAGCCCAGCCGTACCCCAGACCGCAGGCACAGGGCTTAGTGGACTCACTCGGACAAGGACGTGCGGGTTCCCCAGCACAATCAGCAATGCTTTGGGTCGAGTGATGGCTACGTTAAATCTTTTTGAGTTGGACAAAAACCCCAAAAAAAACCTGTCGTCTTCAAACCTGTCTTCGTTGGATCGCACCTATACAACACAAAGATGCGGAGATGGCAATGTGGATGTGCTGGCCTGAGAGAAACGCGTGCTGAAGTGTTAGGAAGGATTAGAGATGGGGGAGCCCGTTCTCGGTTAGAGAAATCCCGCACTGGCCCGGCCCTCCTCCAGCTTGGGTCTGCACGCTCCCCACCCCATGCTTCAGGATTACCGCTGGGGGGGCTTCCAGACGGTTTTGCGTGCTTTTTCCTCCACGCACCTTCTAACTCGTCTGCAATGAACATGTACTGCTTAATAAGGGACACTGAGGAATAAACAGTGGGGTTTTCAGAATTAGCTTGGCGTCAGGCAGGCGGCAGCAGTGGTGGTGGGGCAGCAGTGGAGGGAAAGAGCGAGGTCCCCCGCTGGCACCCTGTCCCTGAACCAGCCAACACTCTCTGCTAACACTGCAGCCCTCTTTTCTTTCAACATCTCGTCCCTCCTCCTCCCAGGCAATTATCATTTCTGTCTGGATTCTTTTTCTTTCCCGATCTTCAGGTTGTTATTTTTAAAGAACTTTTGACCATCATTGCCTGGCTGCCCACTGGGGTCCTAGAATCACCACCCTGTGACTGTGTCCCTGGTCAGTCCCTGTCATTTCATTTAGTGTCCAAAAACACAGTAAAATTCAATGACTTCAAACACACTGGCCACCCCACCCAAAGCAGGGATACCTACGGTTGAGATGATGATGGCCAGATACTCCTGTCCTTGAAACTCCTCTACGGACCCAACTTTTATATCCATCAGATCGACGGTGCGCAGCAGGATTCGGATTTTCTCCACCTTGATAGCAGGTCACAAAAAGACACCGTCTATCAGTCTGGCGCCTTCTTTACTTACCATGGTGCACGTTAGTAAGTATGCAAGTTTATTTTAAATTCTGATTTCTCATTCCATCAACATCTCATCAAAGCCACTGATGGACAGACGTCTACTGCAGACACCAGGAGAGCAGTGTTCCCTCTTCCCTCCAGCAAAGAGCTAAGAGGGTGAGAGTGTGCGTGTTGGGAGCGAGCGGAGGGGTGCGGCTACTGGTGGACTGAGCTGACCTCTGTGTACGGCGGCCACCACAGGTTAGGCCTCAGGACCCAAAGTACTTGCTAAGGCCAGAGGGGCCCCAAGACCTCCTTTAGGTGACCCCATAGCCCTGAGGCCTGAGGGACAATGACAGCAGCAGCTTAGAATGAGGGTCGAGGGCTGGTGGGCAAGCAACCAGCAGACGAGAAGCACAGACAGGAGTCATGCCAGTCAACAAGCCAGGCTGTCGCGTGTCATCTATGGAGCTGCGTGTGCCGTGAGGCTGGAGGCTGTGCCCCTGGTGTTTCCACTACCAGGAGGGTCACCCATGGGGGACAGGTTTCATTGAAGCTTCCAGACTAACACAGGCTGTGAAGAAAGGCCTGCTCTGGACACATCGTCTGAGGGTCACTCGCTGGAAGGGGACACTGTGTTTGCTGAAGTACAGTGCCAGCCAGGGCAGCAAGGACACCCAGTGAGGGCCTGGCCCAATAGTCACAAGGGTGGACTCCAGCATGATGCTGACCGTAAGGATGGCGCAGGAGCAGATGGCATCCATTGTGCTGTTTGCCAGGTCGCACGTGCCAGAGTCACCCCGACGGCAGCTGTCGGTTTATCACTAACTCAGCAAGAGGAGGCCCTGCTCTGGAGGTGGGGGGAGGCGAGAGCAACAGAAAAGGCTCTGGAATAAGGCGGCTTCAGATCTTCAGAGACAGAGCCAGCAACAGTGCCGCAAGCAAACAGGGCAGTCCCGGGAAACAGCCCGGTAAGGAAACAGACCCAATGACGGGAGACGCTCGGCTTGCCCTTGGGCAGAGCTGTCGTGATGGGAAGCCAATGCCGAGAACCATGATCCAGGTGTCCAGAGCGAGAGAGACCCACCTTCGGAGAGCTGGCCAGACACAGGGGTGGACCCCGTCAGAGGGGGTGGTGGGGCCAGCCACGGACCAGAACTGCAGTTTTGAGGCTGAGGCCCATGTTGGGTGAGTGCCCAGTGGGATGCAGAGACCACACCTCAAAGGTCTGTGGTGAAAGCAAAGCACATCACGAGCGAAGGGGAAACGTGAGAAGCTGAGACAAAGACAGCCCTGAGATGACATGAAACTGAGACACAGCTGGTTTCTTAGCTGGTGTGTACACCACAAGACAATGGGCAACACGGGACAGAACGCCCACGTAACTGTGGATTTCCTAAATTTCACGAAGAAGAGAACAGAGCCACCAACAGCCAGGGTGGGTCAGAAGGACCACTGCCAGGGGTTCTCTCTCCCCAGCGGCCTGTGTCCTGAGTCTGGTAAAAGACACAGGTGTGCTGCTGCTGGGACACCCACGGCCACTGGCCAGAGCCACACAGAAGACCTTGCTGGCAGACACCGTCACTCAGTAAGATGCTCACAGAGAGCTGGCGGGAAGATGGCCTGCACCCCAGCGGGGTGAGGAAAACCGGAGGCCTATCCTGGTTTCCTACTGTTCCAAAGGAAATTCCTGGTGGTTTCAAGGTCTACATGTGAGCATTCACAGTCAGACTCTGAGGGGGACCACAGGACTCCTCTGCTCTCAGGACAGCGAAGGGTCTCATAGATGAGGGGCGATCAGACACCATACAGGGAATTATTTACGTACAATGAAATTAACACACGTATTACATTAGAAATAAGTCAATACAACACGCACAGCCGGGATGCTTGTGTTAACACATGTAAGCACCAGGAGCTGTCCCGAAGAGTGTGCTGAAAGCCACACACTGATGAGAAAAAGCACTCCAGATCAATGAGAAATGGGCAGGAGACCTTAACAGGCATAGTCAGGAAAACATGAAGAGATGGCTACAAACACACACAGAAATCACAACTGGAGGGAACACACCTGTGCCCCTCTCCCTGCAGAGCTGCAGGGACACCACTGGAGTGTGTGAACCATGACTGGGCACGACACCTGGGGGCGTGGAAGCCTCACCTGCCTCGTCACCCAGCAACTCTAACCCAGAACGTGTGCCCGGGCGTGAGGTGTAAGGCGGTGTCGACCACACAGAGGATCAGGAACCACCTAACCTTTGCTGGCAGACGGCGAGCAGATGTGCACCGTGCAACAGTGACAACACCCGGGGCCCTTCACTCCTGAGCTCCTGGGGCTGAACAGGTGCTATGAGTCTGTCCCCAAGAAGCACAGCTTTGTAGGAGAGGCCCCACACAGGCAGATGACAACTGCCCAGACAGGGCAAGACGGGGGCCGGCAGCGTCCCAGTCGCAGGCGAAGGGAGCTCACCCCGTCCTGAGGGCCGACAACGCTCAGGTCTGGGGGTGGTGCCAGAGACGGCGAGCAGGGGGCGGACCGTGCAGCTCAGGGACATGTGTCTAGCATGGGAGGTCCATCAGCCCCACGGCCCACTCCAGGTAGGGCCTCTGCTTGTCCCAGCATGTTACTGGGACTTGGCACCTGGGGTCCAGAACGCTGCCTGTCTTGTAGTCATAGGAAAGAGTTACACGAAAGACAGACTCATCCCACCCAAATGCAGCAGGGCCCCCTTAGAGCTGGGCGGGCACTTTTTCTTACAGGGCCCAATAATGAACATGTCAGGCTTTGGGGGTCAAGAGCAGAACCAGGTGTATTTCACAGGTCCTCACATAAGCAAGCTCTGGTGGTGCAATGCACTGCTAACCAAAAGGTTGGCAGTTCAAACCCGCCAGGTGCTCTGTAGAAGGAAGACAGGGCAATCGACTTCCATAAAGATGCACTGCCTCGGAACCCACTGGGGGTCGCTCTAAATCAGAACCCACTCCATGGCAGTAAGTTTCGTTTGTGGTTTGGTTTATATAAACATTTAGCCACGTGAAGGCCATTCCGGGTTCGTGGCCATCACAAACAGGCGGCTGGCTGAGCTGGGGCTGGAGCAGACCCTGACTGAGGGCATCACTGGCACCGCACACTGGCACTTGTCCCTGTGCGCCACAGGCTGGGGCCTGCCTTGGGATGGTACTGACCAGAGGACGGGGCAGTGGCCTCCAGGGTGAGGCTCTGTACCTGCTTCCGGTAGGGCGTGATCACACCAATGTCGCTTGCCGACACCTGGCTTGAGACGCTGCGGGCAAGCAGGCAGCAGTAACGCATGACTTGAACAGCTTCTGCAGGGTTGAACCAGGATGGACTCCTGCCTTCCCGAGCTTCGTTGCCCTAAGTACACGGAGGAGAGAGAGAATGACACACAGCACACACACTCGGCAGACGTCTAACTCAGGGTGGGACGCGGTGATGAGACAGGCGCTGCCACCTCTCCTGCCTGCAGGGCACTACCAGATGTCCTCCCAGCACAGGAGGCAGTCTGGTCTGGAAAGCCTGAGGGATGGGGCAGTGTGGACACTAGCCTGGGGTCTGTGGTTTCCTGACTGTGGTACAAGCCCCAGTTAGGTGCCTGTCCTCAGCCCCTGCAGCCCTCAGGGTTGCTGGCTGGTGGTGAACTGGGGCTGACAGCCCCTGCACCTTGCAGAGGAAATGGCACCAAGCAGTGCCCAGGTGGGCACAGAGGCTCGCACTCATGACGGGCAGCAAGGATGTTTCCTATATGTGAAAAGAAACCAACAGTGTCCATTCTTTGCAACTGGAGGAAACAGTCTTAAAGGCAGAAATCAGGGCTTTCTGTAAATAGGGCCATGTGCACATGCCTACATATAGCTCTGTGGGGGGACCTGAGTGCTTGTGAGGGACTCGGGGGGAAGGTGCTGAGCATAATAAACCTCCTCCTTTGACCTTCAACTCCCTCCCCTGCGTCTGGGCTCCCTTTCAAAAGAAAGGCTCCCAGGTTGCTGCTGTTGTTGTTAGGTGCCGTCAAGTCACTTCCAACTCATAGCAACCCCATGCACAGCAGAACGAAACACTGCCCAATCCCGCGCCAGCTGCATGATCCTTGCTATACTTGAGTCCATTGTCGCAGCCACCATGTCAATCCATCTCGTCAAAGGCCTTCCCCTCTTTCATCGACCCTCCACCTTACCAAGCATGACATCCTTCTCCAGGGAATGGTCCCCCCTGACAACATGA